TTTTCAGTTTCATGAATGTACTGGCAACTTTCTATGTGAGCTTTGAATGATTGTTAACAATGTGGTGGTTGTCTGTAGGGAGTGGCTGTACCTGCTGTGTCATGAAATGTTGAACCCCTATTACGGCCTGTTCCAGTACTCCACAGACAATATCTACACACTACAGATCAACCCCGACTCCTCCATCAACCCTGTGAGTACACACAAACACTAATACATACTTACGCGTGACACACTTAACGGTTTGAAGTGAATAAGTGGAGTCTCTCCGTCTGTGTTACTTTCTTTCAGGACCACCTGTCATATTTCCACTTTGTGGGGCGCGTGATGGGCCTGGCAGTTTTTCACGGTCACTACATCAACGGGAGCTTCACGCTGCCCTTCTACAAACAGCTGCTAGGCAAACCCATCCAGCTCAACGACCTGGAGACCACCGACCCGGAGTTGCACAAGAGCCTCGTCTGGATATTGTGAGCAAATGCACCTGCGCCCAAGTCACTCTGACAGCAGAGAGCAATTTCTTCTGCTGTTCCCTTCCGTTTTCCATTTCACTTCTAACTTATTCTAACACTGTCTGTGCAGAGAGAATGACATCACCTCAGTCCTTGACCACACCTTCTGCGTGGAGCATAATGCTTTTGGGAAGTTCTTACAACACGAACTCAAACCTAATGGCCGTAATATCCCTGTCACTGAGGAGAACAAAAAAGAATATGTAAGGTAAGAACATGCGGCCGTTAACCAAACTATGTCCCCAGAGTATAAACAAATATTGTCCTGGCGGCAGAAAGACCTATTGTGCACATTACTTTGCCAGTTGACAGTACATTAATTTGCGTTTGTGTTTTTCAGACTTTATGTGAACTGGAGGTTTATGCGTGGAATTGAAGCCCAGTTTCTGGCTCTTCAGAAGGGATTCAGTGAGCTCATCCCCCAGCACCTCCTCAAACCCTTCGACCATAAAGAACTTGAGGTACATGTGCCTGTCTGTGATCATAATGAACTGAGAAAGCTAGAGTAAATTAAAGACAGTGCCCACCCCAGCCGCAGCCTGTACACCCTGCAGCCATCTGGCAACAGATGCTGAAGTATCCCTTGTTGTTCCACCAGGACTCAGCACTCCACCATGTAAAATCTTTTTATTTCCAAGAATTATTATTCATTCACTCATCTACTGTATATCATTTTTGTTTATAACGTTTGTTTTTGTGAGTAGCATAAAGGGAACTACAACTTAATCTTGTTAAACAACCCTGTGTTGCAAAGTGATGAATAAATCCACCATCTATCTTGAATGTTGAAGGGTTTGTCATGAGCCGTCTTACCTTCTTCTTAATCTCATCCTGCTTCTCCTCTTCCTCAACCCTCTCCTTCTCCTCCAGTTGATCATCGGTGGACTGGGGAAGATAGATCTCGCAGACTGGAAGACTAACACGCGCCTGAAGCACTGCACAAGTGAAAGCAATGTGGTGCGGTGGTTCTGGCAGGCGGTGGAGGCCTTCACCGAGGAGAGGAGAGGGCGCCTCCTGCAGTTTGTCACGGGCTCCACCAGGGTCCCCTTACAGGGGTTCAAAGCGCTGCAGGGTGGGTCATGGACTGGCTCAAAGACCACACACACACTTTCTGTACACTCATCAGTACCTATGTTCGTTTGATGCTGATGTCTTCCTGGGGCTAGATATACAAGACCTCTCACATATACTAGCAGCATTATATCTAAACAAAGATGGAGCATAGGAAAGAATCCCTGTTCACTATATTTGAGCCTAATCATGGTACATTTTACTCGTTTATACACATTTATACAAAAATATATAGGGATATACGTGGAGTTGTGCATAGATACTTTTTATTTATATACTTTTAATTTATTTTGCAGCTAAACAAAGATTGATTTAGGGCTGCAACTAATGATTATTTTCATTATCCATTCATCTGCTATTTTTTCAATTGATCAAATACTATAGAAAATAGTGTCAAAGTACAAGGGGGCATCTTCAAGTGTCTCGCTTTGTCTGACCAACAGTCCAAAAATATTTGGCCCACTGTCAAGTATGACAAACAAACAGCATCACATTTCCCCGTTTAGAAAATGGAATAAAAAGGCTAAATGTTTGGCATTTTGCTTAAAAACATAGTTGAAACAATTCATCAGTTGTCAAAATAATTGCCCATTCAGTCTCTGTCGATCCGCAAATCGGCACAACTGTAGATTACATTATACATTGTTTGCTGGTAGGGATTTTCCAGTTAGTGGTTTCAGCCCTAATCCATATTCAAGTCAGTTGTTTTTGAGAATCTGCTGATAAAGAGAGTCCAGTCCCCGAATCAGCATTCATATTGGCCAACACGCTCATAACCTGCAGCTGCACATTGCACGGTTAACCCATAGATGGCTTATATTGAAACTTAGAAAACCTTTTCAACCAAGGTCAAATGTCCCCTCATTTTTAGAAGACACCGTTTAATGTGCAGTGGCAGTTAAATCACATTTGCACGCTAAAGAAAACATCCACAAATTTATTTACTATCTGAAGACTGATGAGTGCTCCGTGTACCAGAGTAGAGCAGTGATAACTAGAATGTATGTGTGTAAGGTTCTACAGGTTCTGCAGGACCAAGGCTCTTCACCATCCATTTGATAGACGCCAACACAGACAACCTGCCCAAGGCCCACACGTGGTGAGGACACACAAAAGAAGAAGACGTTTCTATATTTGTGTCAGGGTTGACGTCACTAATTCTCAGCTTTCTGTCTCCAGTTTTAACCGGATAGACATCCCTCCCTACGAGTCTTACGAGAAACTTTACGAGAAACTGCTGACGGCTGTGGAGGAAACCTGCGGCTTCGCTGTGGAGTGACGAGTCCACAGCCGAACCAACATACACACAGTCACGCTTGCACTTGCACACAAACTATTTTACATTTTACATATACACAGACACATCAACAGAATATCAAGTATACACAGAGTATACAAGAGCGGCCAAGCATCACAAAGACTCGCATGGCCTCTTGCCACCTCCGTACCACCAAACTGTTGGGGGTTAAAGGAGGAAGCACAGCAGGAGGGGGGGAAAATTCAACAACAAAAAAATAAAGTATTTTAAAATTTTTTCACATGTTTTGAAGAAGCATTTTTATCCTTCAGTTTTAACAAGCTATGATGTCATTCTTCAGAATGTCTGCCGCCACAGCGAATTGGACTTGAATCACACTTGAGTCTCTGGACAGAATCAGCCAATCACACATGAGCCTGCGAACAGAGACTTTGAAATCAGATGTGTGAAAAACAAGGGGGAGACTGACTGTCTTTCTGTTTGACATGCTGATTGATTGACTAGTATTCATGCTTCATGTTTAACCACTGTTTGTATGTATGTGTGTGTGTGTGTGTGTGTGTTAGAGAGAGAGAGAGAGTGTGTGGGTGAGTGTGTGTCGGGCATGGCACCCAGTTACGCTGTAAAAATGATCAAATGAGCCTGCTCCTCTGTTTGGTAACTTTTTGTCTCTTCTGTTTGTATCTGCGACCACTCTGATCCACTCTGATATTTTATTATTTATTACTAAGTGATTACTGACCAAGCTGCTATATGCTCTACAAAGAGCCCACACTAATCTCTTCATCATCCCCTCTACCAGAGTTGAAGGGTCAATTCACTTAATTCAAGTAATCCACAAAGTGGGTTTTATTGAATTTTGTTACATTTTTCATTTTTTCATATTATTGCGGAGAAATACTCTTGTCAGTGTATGAAATCTGTTTTTGGTGTTTTAAATACCATGTTACATTTATTTGATGTGAAAGGGATTGATCTTAACCAGCCCTAATTTTAAAATCTAACTCTACTGACGTTATGGAGAGTTCCGAGGGCATGGCCTGGATAGTTTTTCAAAGTCAGCCACGACGATGGAAAGAAGGAGTCAGTTTCAGGAATTCTTCGGTTGTATGTGACATGTATAATAAAATCTCATAAGCCTTTCATACATGTTTCATCATCCATTTCACCATCATGTTTCTTCTTGTTCTTTGTGACGCTGATGTTTCTCTGCCCATCTCATTTCCTCCATAGCCAGAATGTTACAAAAAGTAGTCATCGTCCTCAAGACCGCCATGAATGAACAGTCTCTTTGCAGCCATTTATTCTCCATAGAAGTGAATGAAATCAAAAACCGAAATGTTGAACGACTAATGTAGTAAAAAGGTCTGAATCTTGTAGATTGAAAATTACTGACTGTTCATTGATTGATCATTTCAATCTGCATTTTCTAGGTTCTGAGTTCACTGTGTAATGGATGCAAGAGTATTGTAACTTACTATGTACTAAACATTTATGAAAAAATACAATGTAAATAAGATTATATTAAAAGAAATTAAATTGAAAATACATTAACTCTGTTGTGTGCATTATTCTATCTCTGTGTATATATACGATCAAGAAACATTTACTATATATAGATGTGCCTAATAGACGTGTATCTATTATTATTACATTCATAGGTGGATGAGACAAGTCAGTGTTTCATCAACCATCCCAGCAGTCCAAAGAACCACAATCTGTACCAAAGCTTAGTGTGCAGTTGTAATTTTGACATAATTGGATTATTTTTTAAGGCTTTAATTAAAAATATAATGTAGGCCTGTTCCAATTTTGGAATACAGATTTTAAAAATCTTTGATGATGGTTGTCCCTTAATGATTCTGATATTTGAAGTGATGGGTATTCTTTATTATTTTGAAGTCTTATTCTTAGTTACACCATAATATATATTTTATATTTTCTTTCTCTTGTACCGGTAACCATATAGCAACTCAGTAATGATGCTATTTAGCTCCGGGAGAGAACAGTCCATAGCTATAAACCCTGGCTTTTGTACATATAAATAGAATATATATCCTCCGTCCAATGACTGGGTGTCGGCCTATTCGTGGCCTGAGCATGACTACAATGCCGAGGAGTTCCTCCAGATTTAGGACTACATTTCCCATAGGCCACCGCCTGTACGTATCGAAAGGCATTGTACGCGTGACGCGCTGCTGTTCTTGTTTTGGCAGTTTGTTTCGATATTCACGGATTGTCAGTCCACCAAGAAGGCGTTTTGTATTGGTTATACAACACGAAGCTGCGGTATTGTACATTTCTGCATGTGTGGCTTCCATATTTAGATTTTAAACTGTATATAGTTGTTTCGAGGCAGTGTTATGAATAAAAACCCCGTCAGGAGTGAGCTAACTACTTACCTACTAGCTAGCTAGCTAGCCAAGCTAATTAACATTAGCTTAGCTGAGAGCAGTGGTTTGTTCTGTGTGTGCGCGGAAATGATCGATTGCTCTCCTAGCGTGTTTGTTTTACCTACTGCACCTTAAACATGAAGCTAATGGTACAGAGTTAAGACTAATGTCAAGGCGATGACTAAAACCAGAGACATTTTATAGCTGGTATTGCAACAATGCCAGCTTCTCGCATTGTTAGCGTTTGCTGTGTAACAACATGTAAGATTTACACTGAGTTCATGCCAACTTGGATCAGATCTAAGGCAACTAGGGCTGGGTTAGCAAGAAAAGCTGACGGAGTGAATGTTTCAACATATTATTGTGGGATCAAGTGGGCCAACACATCAAATCAACTTTAGCTAGCTAAATTAAAAACAACTCCTAACCCCTTTACCATGCTGTTCATGTTTTATATTTCTGCTTTTCAATCATATGCTTCCTCTTAAGTTATCTGGCTAACACACCAGCTGAACTAACCAGTGGATAGTCGCGTATATGTTGTTTATTATCGTTGTGTTATTTATGGGAACAGGGTGGAGTCCAACCCCTCTCGAGTTTGGTAAATGTAATGACAAAAAAATGAAACCATTTGTTGAAATTCCAGGGGAATACCTGCTTTAACTGTGTGTGTGTGTGTGTGTGTGTGTGTGTGTGTGTGTGTGTGATAGATGGTATTGATTGAGCCTTGAATCAGGAAGCTGGAAAGTGTAGTTTCACAATGGCAGATGGAGGCAGTGATGATGATGTCATTCACCTGGCAAGCTTCAACGTCCACCGCAGCCAAGGTGAGTCTGTCCATCTCTCACACACAGATATATTGTAGTTCCAGTTTGTGCCTGACATCTTACAATATGCTCCCATTTGCGCACACACCACTGATTTTTGAACAAGGCCCTGGTTTTCCAACATTTGAAACAAAACCTAACCCTGATTCTTGGTAGTTTAGAAATATCAGTCCTGCTAGACACAGTTTCAAGGATGTGGTTCCTAATGGCAAGCAACATAATTCAAATTGATAGAACGTAAAGCTCGTCATCAGTCTCCCACTTTTGTTACTCATCACAGACATAGTAAAGATAAATGTGTCCAATATTAAATATTTGCTCAGTTCTGCTTTAAAAAAAGTCGACAATTTCTAGACGTCAGGTTAGTGACTTTGTTTAAAAGCATGGTAAAGTAGCCTACTTTGCATTGCAGCGTCTCTTATTTTAAATTGTAATTGCAAAGATGTCAGTGTAAGCCACAATTACCATTTGAGCTTACATACAGTATTTTGTGCCTTTTTGAAAGGAAGAGATCTGATAATTTTTCAACACATTTGCTAAATGTTTCATACTTTTTATAGTTTTATACCCATCCAATTGTTGGAATAGTTCCACTGGCCAGTCACATAAAAATTCTATTTGAAAAATGAATAAAACATTACATATGGCCTGTAGTCTCCTCCTCCTGCTTTGGCCTCAGAACTGGAGGTGTTCTCTGGGTGCTGCTCTGTGGCAGGCCACTGCTCCTAAACAGTTTGTATGGGTCAAATGCAGAGGACATGTTTCCCTGCAAAAGTAAACAGAAGAATATTTTTGGCCAACATAATAACTACATAAAAAGTCAATAATACTGGCCGCATGCCATTTTCTGTCTCCTCGTTCACACCCTTTGACTTAAAGACATAAATATATACACATGGTATAAATTCCAAAGATTTACATTACACTGTGCCTGTGCAGGCTCCCGTGCACGCAAGAGGGAGCTCATCACCATTTCTGATGACTCCGATGAGGAGCCTGTGACTCTGGTGCCTGGTAGCCCGGTTTTAGTCCCAGACGATGCCGATGATGACGATGTCAGCATACTGGAGGTGACTGACTAACACAGTTAAATCCTTATTGTGCATATCAATGAGACTTGTTATTAGAATCTTCCCTGTTACTTTGTACACAAAAGGCAAGTGTTTCAGACAGATGTAAAAGGTGTTTGGCTATACAGTTGGCATATGAATAGCCATCAATAATAGATGCAGAAGTTGCAACATCTTTGTTTCCATTCATCTATCAATTTGTCTCTCTTGCCTCCTGTGTTTTCCTGCAGCCACTAACTCCTGCACGCAAGCATGTGATTCGCCCAGCAGCAAAATGGAGCGGGGCCTCGCACAACCTAATTCAAGTTGTAGGTCATAGTAGCGCAACTTCTGGGGTTCCCACAGGGGACCCTGGTTCTGCCCCCTCTACCTCCAGAGATGCCAAGGTCAACTCCTCCGCAGTAATGCCAGCCATACAAACACAGACACCCGTACAGTTTAGTGGTTCTGGACCTACAAAGCCTCAACCTGGCTCTTCATCACACACACTGTCTCAGCCAAAACCTCACACAAACTCACAGCAACAGGACGGTACGTCAGCACATACAAAAGTGGAGCTCCATGCAGTTTCTTCAATCCAAACCCCATCTACCTCCACAAATGCCAAGGCTAGCGCCATGACATCCAGTGCACCTATACCAGTACTTCAGCCTCAGCCCAGCACATCTGGACTCATACAACAAGCTGGCTCTTCAGCACATGTAATGGCCGAGCCCCTGAGAACCTCTACCAGTGCCACACACTATTCTTGTGCGATTACAGTGGCTGCGTCAAGTTCTTCTACAAAGACTCAAGAAAAGGCTAGCACAAGTACTCATCAGGCCAGTACTTCATCTGCACAGTCACCGTCTAACGTACGGACGCAGTCTCAGCCTGGTGCATCTACACAGCTCCAGTCCACTACAACCCCACAGCCCCACCTCATCCAGGTGAAGGAGGTGAAACTAGTTTTTCTTCCCCAGCAGCCGAGCATCCAAGCCTCTGCTCTAATAACCCAACCCCAGCTGCAGCTGAGGCCCCAGACCCTGCTGCAGCCTGTGACATTCAATCACATGCAGGGCAATCTCATTCAGATTGAACCACAGCCGCTGGCCCAGGCCCCGGCACAGCCTCCAGTCCAGGCCCCTCAACCCCCTCAGGTGATGCCGGTTATCCCCCCAGCAGTGCTAATAGCTGCAGCCCCAGAGAGACTAGGGCCTCCAGAGGCAGGTCACCGGATCATCTTGGGGAGCCAGGCTCCTGGGGAGGCTGTTCCCAATCCTCTGCCACAGGCTGGTGCTTCAAATGGGGTCTTACCAGCCCGTGGCCTCAACATCAGGGCGCCTAATGTGAACACTAACCCTCCTGTTCCTCCGGCTCCCGCAGTCCCCCAAAATGGAGGAGAGGCTCGTCTTGTTCTGGCTCCAGCTGCAAACCCAGAAAGGGTCAATCCAGCCCCTGGTCTGGTCGCCATCCCGCCTGCACCAGAGGACATTCCCCGAATAGAGGATGCGAGGCCTGGCACCTCTGCGCCACGAGGGAGAGCAGAGCAGCAGCCCCTTGTTAGAGCCCTTATTAGTGGTGTTGTGAGTATCACATTAACTGCGTCTCTATTATCTGAACTGAAGGACAATGAGCTCATAAGTTGATTTAATGTGAAGTTCAATAATTTTAATTGTGGTGTACCTATTCTTCTCGCCTCTTCTGCCCCATCTACATCCCAACCCACTCATCTCCTTGTGTATCCTCTACAGTTGGATCTATTCCCAGATGTCCAAGAAGCCTATGTAGCAGAACTGATCCAAAAGAATAATGTGAAAGACTTGAATGTGTAAGAAGCAACCATTTCTCTCCAGTACTTCATACACAGTTATGATAAGTCATTCAGAAATGTAGATATTAGTCTTGGACTTAAACAGCATTTTTCGACCTGAACTCTGGAGCTCAGCACTACCAGCTATGTGTAAGTTCTCTCATAAGTTAGGGCATAAAGTTGACATTAGAGGCTCAGTAACTACTAGTTAGTTTGTAATTAAATCAGCTACTAACATTGGCTGCACCACGATTACATGGGGCATAACTTAACTAGGCAAGTCTGTAATCAACAATCAAAGATCATGGTTACCGTGTGCATTAGCTTTCTGCCTGGCAAGAGCCACTTGGCATCGTAGCACATCGTTCTAATTTAATCTAGATCCATATTGAAATATAAAATTAATAAATAAGGTCTATGTTGGATTACTGTAGTGTAAAATGACACGGCTGTTTTACTGTTAGTGTAAGTTAAGTTTGTGACATTTTATGGTTGACACCTACCCTTGGGGTATGTGTAATTATTTATTGTTACTTAGAGTTATGTTGTAATGTGTTATCTCCGTTGTGCAACTGCTTTTATTTTAGTAAGGCATAAAATACAACTTAGTAATAATTTACGTTATAACTAAGTTTGAAGTTACACACAGCTGGTGCAACAGGCTGCTGTAGCACTTTCTACCACCCACAGAACCATCAAATAAAATTTGGTTTGACTTTTGCAGCACTTTTATAGCGCCCTTCATCTGCCTTCTAAGTATTTATGTCCCATATTGGACTGAATTGGTCATGCATCACATGCATCTTTTTGTGTTTTGAAATTTCATTAAAACAGGATTTCAGTGTTCAGCATTCTGGGTTTAATCTTATTTGTCAGACTTGATTTGATTTGTAGATCTGTTTGGTTGAAATAAAACCCATAATTAATTCTATAAAGTCAGTTGGTGGCTTTACAATCCTAATGTGAAGCTGTGGTTTACCAAACACTATTAAGGTTTCTAGATTTGATGCTTTGCTGTGTGGATATGGAGTTGAGTATCTTTTTGTACCTTGATTTATTCAGATGTAGGTCTTTTTTTTGTGAACTGTTAATATAGCTGAAATGTCTCTTCTGTTTTTTCTTTTAAATGATTTATTGAACTATCAAAGGGTCCTGACTTAAAGGGTAACTTTTTCAAAGTGGACCTTATTTTCATATGTGACTAAATGTTTTTGCCACTAACAGGCTCAGATTATTATTAAAGGCGTCAGATGACATTATGGAAAGGATCCCTACAGAGACAGATATTTTTTAAAGACTTTTTGTTTAACCAGAAACAGCCACCAGACTCCATAGATAAAAACAGTAATTTTACCTCACAGAACGTGAGAGTTGCTAGTCTACCAGTATCCTCAGTCAGTTAATCTGTGTTATTGTGTGACTTTAGTGTTGTAAAGGGTTAAAAACACCAAAGAGACACAATAACACAAACAAACAGATTGAGTCAGCAGTAGACCAGACAGGTAAAATGACTTTTCGTCAAGGGAGTCTGGTGGCTTTGAGGAGAACAATATTGCGACTGTTTATGGTTAAACATAGAGGATCTTACTCTTTAACAAGTGTCTATATCTGTAGGGATCCCTTCCATAATGTTGTCAGACACTTACAATAACAATCCGAGCCTTGCTGTCAAAAACAAGCACTTCAGTGGACTTTGCCCACAAGGATTACGTAGCAGCTCTCTTTTGCTGCTGACTGAAAGTATGGTCCAGGTTGAAAAATACCAAAGTTACCCTTTAAGAGGTTAACTGATAGTATTACTCTGTGTTGAAGGGCTGAAATGTACATATTTCTAATGGTAGAGTTGTATTAAATGTTATATTTTATTCTCACAGAAATGAGAAAAATGAATTTATTTTCACTTAATTGTCACACATGCAATAGTGCACAGTCCCATATCTGACTAATTGAATTTGTTATGTGTGTGTTGCAGCTATTGAAATAGCATCATACCTGCAACTGTGTGCAAAAGTCTGTGCAAGCTTGTTTACATGTACCTCCCCTCTGCTGTTTTCCAGTATCTGTAACCTGCTGTTGGAGAACCCAGAGTATCCAAGAGGGGAGGCTGCAGCAGCCACAGCAGCTCCAACCAGCATCCTGCTGGAGTCTGGAGACACCCAGACAGAGGTGTGTGTGTGTGTTCATATTTACTTCAGTCAGACTCAGCTGACTAATATTTTTTTTTTAATGGAGCTTTTCTTGGCGTCCGTCACCAGATTATGACTCTGTACTGTTTGTTGAACCGTGGCAGTTTTTGAGGAATGAGCTTGAATTGTAAACAGAGAGTGAATATGCTGGAAAAGAAAAACACATTAAGTGTTTCACGTGGAAAAGAGACGGACAACTTTATCTGTATTATTTTCCCAAGCAAACTTTACAGAGTGACTTTACACACACACATATGAACGCAAGGAACAACCCTCAGGCTCTCTGGCTTGTTCACACAAAATGGCAGACGGCACACAAACAGACCCTTCAGTCTCTCCTGCCTTGAAACCTGATTATTCAGCTGTTCCCCCACCCACCCTACCCTCACAAAAAAGCCTTGTGTGTCATAATTGCAGTTAGACAGTGTGATTTTTTTTTTTTTTTTTTATTTGTCATTTTGATGACAGCTTTATACCTGTCTTTGAGTCCAATATCTCAGGGTGTGGTTACTGTGTTTACACATCTGTTATGGGTCTCCTCAGGTGACAGAGGACCTGTTTGACTATGCCAAACTGGGCACGGTGGGACCTGAGGCTGTGATGCAGGCTGCCGACTTGCTCATGGCAGATTTCAGGATGCTCAGCTGTCAGGACATCAAATGGGCCCTCAATGCTCTGAAGGGACACTATGCAATCACACGCAAGGTACCTGTGGTGGTCTCATAATGCACTGTGCATCGTGCGATTACAACTCTCCCCCTTTCTCTACTTTCTTGCTCCCTTTTTATAACTGTCTCTTTAACTCCTGCTCTCCCAGGCCTTATGCGAAGCTCTGAAGAAGTGGCAAGATTCAGGAGACCCCTCAGGAAAGAGACGGCGGAGCAGGGCCTCCTCTGAGCGCTGCTACATTGATTTTCATTTTGAGCGTGGTGAACAAACTTTTTAACTTCTCCCTGTGTGCTCACATCACATGCTATGATCTATGCACCCACCTGTTTGGTAGATGTACTTGCAGTGTGCATAGTGCATAATTATTAGAATTATTTGATACAAGCCAGTGTTTGTTGGTAATGCTCTCCTTTCATCTGCACAACCTTCAATAACAGAGATTCACCACAGGTGCATCATGGGAGGACATTTTAATACCTTTTTTGTTTCTGTCCACCAGGCTCAGTGAAGTTTGACAAAAGGATGTATTTCTTGGAGAATGACCGTCGCTACTACAGGACGTACGACAACCTGGAAGCTTCTTTGCAGAAGGAGCTTACATTCTATCAGCAGAAGGCCAAGGAATGGGCGGAGGTATATATACACGCGCACACACACACACAGGTACACATTGTTTCTGTATGTGTAATTCATGATGTTTCTCTGTCACAGTATTTCATTTATGCCTACAGACTGCAGTTTTTGTTATATTGTACATGTATAGTCGTAAATTCTGTTTTAGGCTACGGAACAGTGAGTTTTGGGTATTTTACTCTCCGCATACCGTTTTTTTTTCCATCAGCATAATACTGCTATAGGGAATATTACATTTGTATAGTCTCACATCCTTCTGGCTTTTATTAAAATATTTTAAAGTTAAGTCCTAACCCCCTGTGGAGGTTTGCAAATGAAGGGAGAATGTATTTGTTTGCCACTTAAATAGATTCCTATATACTTTAATACTCAATAGATAACTCAAACTCGGTATACAGATACCAATTGGAGTCTAGTGCTGCTCAGTTAGCATGTGCAACATTACTGGCACCAGTGAAAATAACAGTGTATCTGTCTGTCAATAACCCTGCCTAGAAAACATTTGGCACTAAAAGCGAAAACACCTAGCAATGCAATGTTATAGAATACACACTGAACTTCTACATCACATCAAATGAACTTAAACTGTAAAAATCCCGCCTAAGTGATTGGCTGACTGGTAAGGCAATAAATAAATAAGCTAGAGTTCCTTTACCCTTCTACATCACTGTACCATCCTTAAGAAATATAATTTAATGAATTTTGATAGCTTTAGCAATCTTTGATTCCTTAAATTGATTCACAAGTGCATTAATCACTTAGCACATGAGCCACTAAGTTCATTTGTTGAGAGACAAAACAGCATTCAAGTCACTAAGAGCTCCACAAATCATGACTGTAAAATACCATACTGCAGGACCAGCTTTGGACAGACGACCTTCTCTGTGAAGAGCATTACCATCTCACATCAAGACTGTACCTGACTTTAAAATGTTTACTTCCAGGCTTAAAAACTGGTTAAAGACAAGTTTATATATCATGTTTATATATGTTTTTTAAATTGTAGAAGTAGTGAAGTATGTAAATTCTATTGTGTATAAAAGCCCAACCAGGGACAGGAGTTGAAAATATAGCATTATATATATATATATATATATATATATATATATATATATATATATATATATATATATATATATATATATATATATATATATATATAGCTTTGTTTGTTTGCATTGTCCCTGTCAAATAAATAAAGAAAATAAAAAAACTTAAGTTGTCACATGTAGTAATGATAAAACACCCACATCATGGTGTCACAGTCACACCAACGGGGACAGGACAGTTTATATAAGTGAGGTTTGTTTACCATTTACCCTGCTGTGATCAGCGCCTGTGTGAAGTTATCTGTACTCTATTTACTTTCTCTCCAGCATGAGGACTTCCTCTTGGCTCTGCAGGTCAACGAAGATGAATACAAGAAGGTAGGAAGCAACCAAACATACCTCCACCACACAGTTGTAACCTTCAAAATAGCTCACGCTGTATGTGGTCATCATGCTGAAAACGCTGGCTTCTCAGTGGCTAAATCTTATCTGGTTGTTTTATGTCCAAATGGTTACAGTATACAACAATAATGTGGTCTAAAATGACATGACATGGCACATGTAACATCAACTCACAACATGACCTTGTTCTTGATAAATACATTTTATTACCAGAGACCACAAATTAATATGTTCACGTTTATTGTTATTCTGTGTACACTAAGAGTCATTAGGGACCGGGATTAAAATGGATCCTCCAGTATTTCCCTGAAAAATTTAGAAAAGTTTGAAAACCTCTTGTGCTACATACAATATGTGCATGTGTGATTCCTTCTGCAGGACGGCCAGCTGATCGAGTGTGGCTGCTGCTACGGGGAGTTTGCGTTTGAGAAGATGACGCAGTGTTCAGACGGCCACCTGTTCTGTAAAGAGTGCCTGGTCAAATACGCTCAGGAGGCAGTGTTTGGCTCCGGAAAGGTGCAGACACACGCTGTTTTTCTCACATCTGAACAGGACACAACTGCTAGTGTTGCCAAGCAACTATTAATTACTATTTCTATAAAAAACAATGTCTTCCTGAGCTGGAGAATTATTCATTTTTGATAACTGTTTGAATGAAACAGAAGTTGTACTGCCAAAGAGGAACACGTTTGTGTTTATGCTCAGTCGCTCGCAGAAAGCTTCCCTAAATTTTCCAAAGTATCTTAAGTTTTTTGCTCAGTTTTCTGACTTTGAAACTCGATGGGCACACCGTGTCTGCGTTTGTTAACATTGCATACAGTTGAAAGGGCCAGTTGATTTCAAAGGTCTGCCGATGTGATTCAGATTTCAAATCTCTGCAGGCTGATTATCATTCAGGCTGTAACACTGTGTCATGGACCATGGCGAGCTATAATGTCAACATAAACTACTAGTCGTAAAACATGGCATGTAAAATACAGAGTTGCGAGTTTATTAGGTATGCCTGTTTAATGCAGTCCAATAAAATTTCTAATTACTTGCGCATGTGTTGATGTGTGTGTTCACGTTGCAGTCGGAGCTGAGCTGCATGGAGGCGGGCTGCCCGTGCTCCTATCCGGTATGCGAGCTGGAGAAGGTGCTGCCAGAGAACATACTGTGTAAATATTATGAGAGGCAGGCAGAGGAGGCGGTCGCTGCCACCTGTGCTGATGAACTTGTGAGGTAAGTCTGTGTGTGTGTGTGTGTGTGTGTGTTTATAGTTGCGTTTGAACTCTGGTTCAGCTGGATTACACTGTGTAATGTACACCTTGCAAATGGATTCTCTTTACACCGTGCCGTTGTTGCACACTTGTTCTAAGAAGTTTACGTCCTTTATAGAGCAGAAACTATTAGTCGATGGATGTATTAGTCAATCAACAGTAAATAATTCAACTGTGTAGGAAGGGCTAGGCAATAAAACAATAATGAAAATTATTGCAATATTATTCATTCATTTGAATCACGAACTAATTAGCACCAAATTGTTCCATTAAGATATTTATTTTGTTAAGCAAAAGGGACTGAAAAAAGATTTACGAATCATATTTTTTGAAAAACGTTTTTATCATAATTGTTTTGAATGTTCTACCTTAGATTTGTGAAGTGATCCACTGTTTGGTATCAAGTGTTTGTCACGTTCTGACCATAAAGAAATTAACAATTAACCATCTGGTTTCTTCAAGTTTCACTCAGGAACAAAAATCAGCCTTTAATTTTTGATCACTTCTTTGTGATGGAACAACATTATATAGACTTAACCATGAGTCGACAAGTCCAGAACATAATTATCAGATTCATCGATAATGGAAATAATTGTTAGTTGCAGCCCTAATCCTTTATGATGGCCAGCATGTGTGTGTGCATGGAAATTCTTGGTCTATAGGGGATGTCTACACTCATGTGGGAGATGAAATAATGTCTCTTTGTCTTTTCACAGTGTCAATCCTTGACCCTGCATCCTCTCTGACTTTTTCAGGTGTCCGTTTTGCAACTTCCCTGCCTTGTTGGACAAAGACATGTCTCTGTTTAGCTGTCCCAACCCACGATGCCGCAAGGTCAGTGCTGCTCTGTATTTCTTTAGTTCAGTAAACACTTTGAGGTTCTGCGGAAGCCGGGCTGTTGTACTGCTACTTTCTTTCCTCTACAGATCATAACAGTTAAACAATATATTCACAGTCAATTCTATGTTACGGCTTCGGCTCTTGCACAGTATCTGCATCCCCCAGTTAAATTGTGCTGTACAAAAGACTGATTGAAATGGATTTGACTTCAAGAGCCGACATCATGAATTATTCAGTCCATCGTGACAGTAAAACCTGATAGCTCTGTGTGCAGCGTCCACTTCCGTATAAATCATCGTCAGTGCAGCCTGGACATGAGACAGAGATCAAAATCAGTGAGAGGGGGAAGATTGATGAAAGGTTTTATGGACATGATGAAACGGATCCATCTGGCAAGGTCGCCACTTCTGTCTCCTGCTCTGTTTCTCTGGGCCTCCTCCCTCTGTCTGAGGAATGCAGGGAGGGGAGGCGTTGCTTTGTAACTGCCAAGGCTGTCACACAGATTCCAGTCTAAAATCTCCATTATATGGCAGAAACACACACACACACATACCTACAATCATATTCTCACTCTCACCACATAAACAAAAACCCTCCCTTCTTTCTCCTGATGCGTCTCTGTTTCTGCTCTTGTGTCTCACACTCAATTCTTCCACACCACCACAGTCTCTCTGTGACTCAACACAAACACAGACACTCACTCCTGCTATCACTACATTCCCGGAATGGAGGAGAGAGAGATGGGGTTGTGTCAACACACCGACATAATAAGTGTGTATATTTTCCTTATGGCATCATGTCCTCCAGTAACTGTGAACTAATAATCTGAGGATGTTTGGGCATACTTTGCTTAAATTTGAAGCATAGATCATCGTTAATGGTGCTGAATTGATTAGTCATGTAATCAGATTGTCAAGTGACTATGAATCATCAATTTCAAGGGAAAATGCTATTTTCTGTTTTTTTAGTATCAACTTCACCAAATGTAAGGATTTGTTGCTTTTCTCTGTTTTATACTATTGTAATCTGAATATATTTATATTTTTTAATTTAAGGTCAGACAAAACAAGCAGTCAGTTTGCTATGGGAAATTGTGATCTACATCTTTCTCTATTTTCTGACCATTTGTAGATCAGAACAATTAATCTGACAATTGAAAAAATCTATCAACAGATTAATTCAGTACTGAAAATTATTCTTAGTTGCATTGCAAACCAATGTTGGACTCACTAACCAGTTTCAGTCCCCAACCCAGTAAATACAGGGGTATGGTTTGCAGGGCTGGTCTTTTCTTAATAGTCTAATACAGACCACTCGGAAACTACAACTTGAATTGATCTTAAAAGAACACTTATTTTATTAGCATTGCTCCCCTATAACATTGTCTAGAGAGGCCTCAAGCCGAGATGAGGAGCGGGTTACAGAAGTCTGGTAAGCTCAGTTCTAACCTCTGCACCTTTAGAATTGTTTTTAATTTTCAAACTTGTACAGGTGCTGGTCATATAATTAGAATATCATCAAAAAGTTGATTTATTTCAGTAATTCCATTCAAAAAGTGAAACTTGTATAATGTATACATTCATTCCACTCAGACTGATATATTTCAAGTGTTCCTTTTAATTTTGATGATTATAACTGACAACTAATGAAACCCCAAAATCAGTATCTCAGAAAATTAGAATATTGTGAAAAGGTTCAATATTGAAGACACCTGGTGCCACACTCTAATCAGCTAATGCAAAGGCCTTTAAATGGTCTCTCAGTCTTGTTCTGTAGGCTACACAATCATGGGGAAGACTGCTGACTTGACAGCTGTCCAAAAGACGACCATTGACACCTTGCACAAGAGGGCAAGACACAAAAGGTCATTGCTAAAGAGGCTGGCTGTTCACAGAGCTCTGTGCCCAAGCAGCAAGAAATAAATCAACTTTTTGATGATATTCTAATTATATGACCAGCACCTGTAGTCCTCAGCCCCAACTGAAAAAAGGCTCAAAGGAGGAGCCCTTTAGGCTCGTTAGTATTTTCTGAAACATTTACATAATTCTCCCGTAGCACACAGAGAGCTTCTGTCTCCGGTCACGCTATAAATTTTACATCTGCTGACTTTGCTCCAACTCCACAAGTTCCTCTGGCTACACAGTAGTCCTCTGTTTTGTTTTTGTTTTTTAATCAACTCTCTTTGCAGTGGCTTCTCTGTTGTATAAGCTCTACATTGTCATTCCAGTCTTAACTTGAAACGTAACAGGGCCCTACAATGTAATCACACAAACTGCTGAGGTTATATAAATGCAAAACGCTACGTTAAGTGCAGATAAGGACGTTCATCCTTTCTCCTGAAGTTCTGCCCATTAACCTGTAGGTGGTGCCAGAGGTTCACGTTGGCCGCCCTGCTGTGTAACTGCACAGCTGCATCCCCTTACATACTCATACACACACCCAAAGACACAAAAAAGTTAGACATGCTCCAGATATCTCTTGGTCTCGTATCTTTTTGAATATTATTCATCTGCCAAAGCAACAGCTACATATTTAGGTTAACTATTAGAAGCAGATATGTTTGCAGTGTTGTACTCACTAGTCTTGAATAGACACTTTTGAGTCTGCTACAGAAAGTTAACACAGCTTGCTTCCTCTTGAATCAGGATGTAAGTCTGTGGCTGCTGTGGTGTGTGTTTTGGAGAGTCCCATTCCCAGATATTGTCACTAGAATATATTTATTACATAGACTGGCTTTACTGTGTGTTAGGTACTTTCTCTCATGGTCTTTTGTACCTATCAGCAGAAGCACAGTTGAAGATGGTTTCTGCACAGTCGGCCCCACATCCCTCTTAGTCTATAGAGCAGGGTGGGGCTTCATTATGTAACTGACACACTTTCCATAAGCCCACCCGCCTTCTCCCACAACGCCACCTCATTGGCTGCCTGCACTTACCACTCCCCTCATACTGGTTTCTTACTGGTTGGACACACTTCCTCCTCCATTTCAAATGTGGTTCAGACCAAGTTTGACCCAGATTCTCCTCCCTCTCTTTTCTTTTCTCCTGCTCCCCCTCCCCTGGCTCTGTCTGACCTTCTCTTTCACACACACACACACACTCACACAAGCGGATCTAATGTATTCCACATGTGGTTATGAAGACATTTGGACAGGCTTGTTCCTGGCCTGTGTGTGATTACTTCATGAAAGCCAAGGAATGTAAAATGTAGGCCACTGGAAGGCCGTCACGGTGCAAACAAGAGCTGAATCCGTGCACTATAGTGTTGTTTTGCAGCAGTCGGCTTCTCATACATAATCATATCCAACACATAAATTATCAGCTCTTCTATAGAAGCATTTCATTGGGCACACATCTCCTCTCTTCCTCCCTGCCCCGTGGTCTGCGCTCTCATTAGATGCCGTAAAAGCAACCTCCCCACATAAAAAACACACACGTTCCATGCAGCCCCCCCAGCACTGCAAGCCACTTGCAGTGCCTTATAAGGGCAGCTGCAGCCTGCACCACGAAGAAAAGAAGAGATAGAAAAAGAGAATTAATCCAGAGGAAGAGACGCTAGGTATGAATGAAATGGAAGAAGGAGATACTGGGTCCGGAGGAAGGAGGGGAGGACCCTAGGGAAAGGAGTGCAGTGAATGGAGATGAGGACAAGTTAGAACAGGTTGGACGATTGAAACAGCTAAACATGCACTATTTCCTGGATTTCTCACATTGCTGCCATTTGTACACCATTAAGGTGTGTGTGTGTGTGTGTGTGCGCGCGCAGCCTTTGTCACATTTCAACCACATTCCCTTTTATTGACATTAGATACCGGGGGGCGGGGAAGACTCGCCCCCATGCAGGGGTTGACTCCGACGTCATCGGCTGTATTTTTAGCCACACTATAAGAACTCAGGTGTGTTCCTGCTTTTCAACAGCTTGTCAAACATGTCCTAGGCACACGCACACACTCTTGTCACCCGCTCTCCCCTGTTCTCTCGGTTACCACTAGGGGGTGATCTTTCACCACTCTGCCTCCCCTCCTCACTCTTTCTGCCTCTCTTTCTTGTCTTTGTGTGATCTGGCTTCCTCTTGACACTCGAGTCCAATTCTGCGGCCCTTGGCTTTCACAAAACCCCTCCTCCCTCTCATTTAACTGAAATCACAGACCTTGTTATATGTTATGCTTGTCACACACCCATGTTTCTTGACTATGTTTCATCCATTTCTTAGCTTGGACACACCCTCATAAATCAGAAAATGGGAATACACTTGGTTTTACCTTTTTATCTGTTTCATGTCTGAAAAGGGGAACTTCCTTTGCTTGAATCGACTACAGTTTGAATTTAAAGGTCTTTGTGTGCCTTTCAGATAGTCTTTAGTTTTTCCATCCAAACCGCTACAAATGCCAGCGAAGAAACTCTGGCGTCTCCAGCACAGTTCCCCACCCTCTGGCTGACCTTGCGCGCACATGCACGCACGCACGCACGCACACACGGAATGAACGGTGTGAAAAGAGGTCGCAGGATGAAGAGGGTGTGTTTCTTTCCGAGGCAGAGGGTCAGACTGGAGGTTGACGTGTAGATATGGATCATACAGTGCTGCATCAGCTGTCATATGCCACGCTCTTCAATATTTCATGAGCGGTTCAAATATTTATGGTGACACCACTTAGCTAGGGGGTTAGCAAGGCAGGCAGCCCCTAGCTAATGTGTTTGTGTGTGTGTATGATGTCTGCCCCGCACGTCTCGGGTTGACACGACAAAGGAGGCTGGAGTTGCTGTTTCTAGGCAACCAAGCAGTCAGCGGCGAGCAAATCGCTCTCTTGCTGCAGTCACACACATTTGCAGTGCGAACCACACCTAGCTGTGTCTGTGCAAGTCCATGTCCCTGCAGAGGCAGCACCAGCAGCATGTACAGCAGACGCTGTGGAGGAACATCCTGACCACAGGGCTCCACTTATTCAGCAGTAACTGGAATGAAGAGGAGGAGGAGTGATGGACGGGTGTGATGTGGAAATGTGGGGTCATCTCTTGCTATTTGATGACATGTTGAGAAACTTATTACAAGTGAAACTCTTTTGCTTTCCCATTCTTTCCATCTCTTTCCCTTTCTTCTTCCTAATCCCTCTTTTCAAATCTCTCACTGCCTTTCTTGTCTTCTTCTTTAGGAGAGCTGTAGAAAGTGTCATGTCCAGTGGAAGCAGCATGTGGGGAAGACGTGTGAGCAGGTCCTGGAGAGGGACGAGATCCGCATGAGGGTGCTCTTGTAAGTGGCCTCACAGAAACAAACAGGACTCCACCAGACTCCTTTATCAAACCACTGCCATTGAGCCATCTACCCTAATGATCCTTAAAGGACAGATTAGCCTCTCATGGACAGATTTGTATGTCCTTGGATGGGATTATATGAAGTGTTGTGGTTATTTTGGGTGGATGTTAATCTTAATAAACTTTAAAACATTATACACAAGCTAAAAATTAAAAAGTAAAAATAAAATTTGTGCTGTTAAGACATCATTTATTTTAAATGATACCAACCAGCCCACAGGCCTTTCAGAATAAGGCGCTGCTTCCCCTCTCTATTGCCAATCAGTCCGTCTCTTACCGTGATTTTTCTGTTGTGACCGAATCATTTTTTTGGTTTGTTTGTTTTTCAACTTCTTCTCAGATTATTTTCTGAGTTAAAACAGTCAAGTTTTCTCATCAAAAACACACTACAAACAGTCCCATGACCAGGCTTCCAGAAATCACCTATCATGTTCTGTAAAGGACAGTATTCACATTTGTGTATTACTACTTGACATGACAAAGAATACTAATAAGCATAGTAAAACTCAAACAACAGCACTCGGTATTATCCAATGTTTCCTAACCATAAACTCTCAAAAAACTTCCACTCTTCTGGGCAATTTTTGTCACAGGCCCTGTCCATTTCTCGGTTTTCTCGCTGTCCCCTCTACTACTCCTCGCTCAGGGAGGATGCTGGACAAACAGGTCCACTTCCCAGAGAACAGTCCAGGAAGTGGAGAGGCCGGCTGCTTCCTGTGGCAGTACGTCCTGTTTTGAACCGCTCGCGGATCTTCTTGCTTCCTAGTGCTGAAAGAGACAGGAAGTGGCCTGGTAGAAAGATCAGTGGAACAGGTCTGAGCAGCACTCCCCTGATGATTTTAACAGGACAGAACTAAGAGAATCACAAAACCAGTACAAGTGCCCTCCAGATTTGGGGGTTTGGTCTCAAGAACTGGGAGAGGCCTCAGTGAAGCCTGAACCTCTGCACCTGCATCTGTGAACTGTGTGGACAGAGCTGTGAAAATAAGGATTCTGATTATCTTTATATCAAGATACAGAGAGAGACAGAGACACAGAGAGAGACAGAGACAGAGACACAGAGAGAGAGACAGAGACACAGAGAGAGAGACAGAGACACAGAGAGAGAGAGAGACAGACACAGAGACAGAGAGAGACAGACACAGAGAGAGAGACAGAGACACAGACAGACAGACACCTGTGCTAAACATCAGTTTACCAATTCATTTATCCTTTTAATACCAAGCATGTCAATTCTGACTGTCAGAAATTATATAAATTGGCTGGATTGGTTGGAGGTACAGCACTCAGGGTACCTGTGTGGGCTGTTCAGGCTGATCGTTTGATTTATTCTTGTATTCCGCAGTCATGTTGACTTTATGATAAGGCCGCAGCAAACGACTTAAATGAAAATATTTCACAGGAAAACAGTACATGTGTTTGACCCTGAAACTAAACGTCTTGTTAATGCCTACAAGAAAATACTAACATGAACCTGAGCTGCAGACACAACTTCTTGTTTCACATCCAGATTCAAACAACACGAGAACCACTCTGTCCTTGAGATACGCAGGAGAACAGCTGATGTTTTGTCTCTCTTTGTCTTTTGTCTCTTCTCATACCTCTTCTTCAATTTCTCTTCATTTGTCTCCCCTGTTCATTTTTTGCTTTTTTTTTTTTACTCTGTCCTGTCTACTTGCTGCAGTGAGGAACGCATGACGGCAGCTCGGGTGAGGAAGTGTATCAAGTGCGGGACGGGCTTGGTGAAGTCAGAGGGCTGCAACCGTATGTCGTGCCGCTGCGGCAGCTTCATGTGCTACCTCTGCAGAGAGCCCATCACTGGCTACAACCACTTCTGCCAGCACGCCCGCTCTCCCGGCGCTCCCTGCCGCCACTGCCGCAAGTGTTCTCTCTGGACAGACCCCACGGTAAATGTTAAGATACGTTCTTTGCCCAAGAGCTGTCTTTTTGAAGATGACAGATTTGACTCCGCCTCTTGATTTTTCTTTTTCTGTCACAGTGATGGAAAACTTGCGTGTTGTCAGATTTAATTTCAAAGTGTCTGTTCATTCTGGGAACTGCAGCCTGTGCACATGCAAGATATATCTGTGGTGCAATACACACACAGTCTTGCACTCACAGACACGTTAACTATCTCTCCCTGCACTCTGACCTTGCCCATCTGACTCCATGGTAGCCCACAGTGACCTGGCCAGAGCATCACTGGCAACCAGAAGCAGCAATTAGTCCCCGAGCAGTTAATGAGCTGGACCTGCTCCAGTAGCTCTAGAGAGGCACCAGAGCTCGCCAAGAGCTAGTCTCGAAGGCAGTGCCAAGAAATGGATAAATACTGGGACCAAGAGGGCCATTGGAGTGTTGGTGAAAGGGGTCAGCTGCCTTCTTCTTATCATTATTCAAAGGTTTTGACACAGCTCACTAGCTTTATGTTCACTTAACTGGAAAGGTTGTCTTTTGGGTTAGAGAAACACACGAGTAAAAAACTAGGACATCATCAGTCAGTTCAGACCACACTGCAGTGTGTTAGTTCAAGCTTGATTCATAGTTGTGCATTACAAGGGTAAGGAATAGCCGTGGTGCTTGCGCATGTAGCAGCAAGCTACGCTATATGTCGAGGCTACAGCGCCTACAGAGATACCACGTGGGATTGCAAAACCTGTGATCGGTCATCTTATGTATTTTTCGGAGGTCCTGGAGATTGTCTCCTGTTCCATAACAGCACAACTTTACCATGTAATACAATTCAACACAGCAATACCTCAAGCTACAAGCTCAGCAATAACCAAAGGCTGTAGTATGGTTAGAGTTAATTATCTCTGTTCCAAAAGTTTATTTCACTTTGATAAAACAGTAATGCAGTTATTGTCTGTTGTCTTCGTCTTTATTGGAAATACAAACAACTTCTGTGTGTGTTTCTGCAGCAAGATGACGAGCGCATCATTCAGGAGATCCAGAAGGAAGGAGAGGCCGAGCTGAATAAGAAGTGTGCAGGTCAGTACTGAGTGTCACTCCTTTCAAAACTGATTGAAATTATTTCGTTGGAACTGTTGAAACTCTGCTCAGTATTTTTTCCCATTTAACATCTCAGTTTTTTTTTATAGGCTGATGTAGAAATCAGGTGAAATATGTTCCCTGGCAGGGAAATGTTGCACTGCAGAAACATTATTCTTCCTCTCTGCTGCTTCCTCTTTTGTCTTTTGAACCATTATTTATTCAGACAAGTTGACAGTTTACAGAATAAACCGGCAGCAGTTGCAGGCGTGTTTCCTGTGTTTGGTTTGCCTGAACATAGGCAATGGCGTACAGCAGTTAGAGGCAAACCTCCATGGGAAGATCAGACAGGGCTGTTTGTTCATTGATAACATCCCTGTTTTTCTTCTCCTCTCAGATACTTCAGGGAAGAGGGTCGGCCCTCCTCCTGAGCCCATCACTGACGCCAAACGGCCACGTGTGGGTCCGCCCCCCGAAAATCCACAGAACCCTAACCCCCCGGCCCCTCCTCACCCGCAGGCAGTACAAGCTCCCCTCTTTGTGCCTCCACGCGCCCGCTACCCACCGGCCCCACCCCAGGGCAGGCTGTACCATCAGGTGATCATGCCCCGGCTGCCCCCGGCCCCCTACGTGCCCCCCCTGCAGCACCTGCCCCCCCTGAACAATAACAACAACAACAACAACAACAACCACCATCACCACCTCCACAACCCTCCTGTCAACCCTCATCATCACAACATTGACGTCATGGACCTGCCCATGCACTATGGACCACCACACCGCTACTACAGACGCTTCTAACACACACGCTCTGTGACGAGAGTTAACCCCGTCAGTTCACACTCACACTACAGCTTTACTTTTTATTTCAGTGCAGTTTTTTTTATCTCTTTCAGTGTGCATCACCCTTTTATATTCGGCCGTTTTCATAGCTCATTTGTGATCATGCAGACTTTGGTCCCACCACTTGAAGCATCCTTTTTGTTTAAGATTTTAAAAAACGCACTGAAATGAGAAGTGCATCTGCAGAAAAACATTCGGACACTTTGCCTTCTCCCGCTGAACTTGGGAATTCAATAATAAAGTGGGTCCCTATGCTACATGTTCCTTTTTCATCTATTTCTCTTTAAATATTGGGGTTGAACTGATGGAAGTGTCTAGAATCTTGGGACAATTTATTTGCAGTTTATACAGATATTTTTGAGTACATAATAAAAAAAAAACAGTTAGCTTTCCCTTCTGTATCTTTTGTGTAATGTGTGTGAGACCACACAGTTTTCTATTAAAGTTTTCGTTCACATTTGCCTGAGTTTCTGGTTCATACGAGTTTAAACTTTCTAAAGGTTTTATGTTTTTATAAAAAGGAAACTTAAACAAATCCCTTCTTACTACCTTTCTGCCCGTCTGTCTCTCTCAGCCACACCGTTTAGTCTGTCTGCCTGTCTCTTCCCCTCCTCCTTCGTCTCATGCAGAAAAAGGGGCTGACTCATGATAACTGAGCCCCCAGGCTATGCACCAATCACATGACAGAGCGGGTGCTTCGGCCAATCACAGCGTGGTGGCAGCCAGGCTTTGTGATGTTACAGAGAGAGGGAGATTCTTTGTTCACCCAAGTGTGCTGCTAGTATGACAAATCACTTTGCTACACACTCAGTCGCACACAGTCTCAGCCTCTTGTTTCTGCATGCAGACTATAAAAGTAGCCCAGGGGTCCTAATGGTTTTAGTCATGGGTGGTATGAGACAGACTTTGTTTGTGTGAGAGCCAGAATTAGACAATCAGATTCAGCGTCTTCCAAAACCGTCGAAGCCATCATAAATAAAATAATGTATGTTGTATTTACCAAAATGAACGAGGACATGACCATAGAGCCCAAAAGACACAGTTCATTGGTGTGTATGTCTGGCATTTTGAGACTGCAGCAAAATAGACATAGTAAATTCAAAAAGATTAAAAATAGAATATTTGCATATTATTTTATAGGGGCGGCACGGTGGTGCAGCCTCACAGCAAGAAGGTCGTGGGTTCAAACCCCGATTGCCCCGGCCTTTCTGTGTGGAGTTTGCATGTTCTCCACGTGTCTGCGTGGGTTTTCTCCAGGTGCTCCGGCTTCCTCCCACCGTCCAAAGACACGCAGACTAGGCTGATTGGTAACCCTAAATTGTCCTTAGGTGTGAGCGTGAGCGTGAGTGGTTGTTCGTCTATGTGTGGCCCTGCGATGGACTTGTGACCTGTACCCCGCCTTGGATAAGTGGTTGACGATGGATGGATGGGATATTATTTTATAACAAGTCTTGGCATGTAGCTTGACTAAAGCAACATGACTGAAAGTTGTGTGAATAAAAAGACAGCTTCTGAAGAAGAAGATAGGAAAGGGGCGCTTATTTCTCCAACTACAGTAACACCAGCAGTTGTTATTTTGGAGAGGGGGCAACCTAGACATTTACCACAAAGTCAAAAAGCAAACACCAGTATAACCCTTGAAGCAGTACTCTAGAGGTTTAGTGTTGTTGTTAGGAACACATTATACAAGAAGTCCACCTGATGCTAACGTCAGCAAGCTAACATGCTTACAGTAACAATGCAAACATGCTGATGTTGAGCAGATATAATGTGGATATAAAGACAGTCTTGGTTTTAGCGTGTTAGCTTGCTGACATTTGCATTTTCAGTCTGGATCAGATCGATGGACCAACACTGTCATCCCCTGTGCCACACTGCTAGCATGGCAAGAATGGGAAAAGCCAACGTAACAAAGGCAGAGACATCCTGACTTTTAGTCCTCCAGAAACACTGGATCCTACACTTACCATAATTCAACACAATTGTGTCTTTCATTCTACCCTCCCTGTCTGGTAAACACCAATGTTTTTCAAACTCTTGCGCCTCTGGTTAACACAAGTTTGAAAAGTGAGTAGCACTCCTCATGATGAATAAAGAGATCCTAATGTGTAAAACAGGTTCACATTACACTTTGTATGTGTGAGACTCCCATGACCGCTGCAAACATGATGGCTGGTGTAGTCACGTTCTATAAGCCCTGACCTCAGTCTGTGACCCCTCACCCTGACGGTCACTGCTGCTCTGAGGACAAAGCTACGATGGGCCAATCACTCCTTTCTGAATAAATCGTATTCGACTGCGTTTTATTCTTTTCCAGTCCTTGAAGACACCCCAGGGCCCACCAGACGAGCGTGTGGGTCATGGATTACAGTCGTAACGTATTATAGAGTATTATCTGCTAATGACTCATTTAATTCAAAGAACAAAGGGCTGGCTTAAGTGATGTGATAAGACCCAATAAAAGAGACTTCTGGCAATGCAGTGTTGACACTCATACACACTTGGAGGTTCAACACTCACTCTAAAAATTCAAATTAGTTAGATGATTTAGTTTTATGATTTAGAGACATAAGAGGAAGATGTAAATATCCAAGAGAAGGACTGAAAACTGGTTGAAAAAGCCTTTTACATTGTATTTGATCTTAAATCATCTCATCTGACATGAGGACGCTGCATGTTAGTGTGCAACAAATAGCCTTCCAGGAATAAACACCTTTATGTTCTTAGACAGTCAATTGATATTGATATCGCAAACATAAAAAGGATTTTATGCGTATCACCTACACCATGTTGTTTTTCTACCGTTAGTCTTTCTTTTTATTCAGTTCTATGTCTTTTGTGTAATAAGTTAAGCACCTTTAATTGTCTTTGTGTATGAAATGTGTTGAACTGGCGTCACCTTATCTGCCTCGAAGTGTTAAAAACATGTAAATAGGTCAGTAAAATAACAGCATTCCGTATTCAAACCACTGAAAACAAACCCAAGTCCGGTGTGGACCAGGACAGATTTGAAGTCCTGAAAATATGAACCAGACATGACCTGCACACGTCGTGGGACACCTGAGAGGAACAAAGACCTCCTCTACTGCAGCTTCCTGTTATTCTGGATTCATGTTTGTCAAGTGTGACTGTAACAGCACAACGTGTCCACACACACGTATTTTTGCATCATCTCTGAGATCACCGAGAGAACCTTCACACCCTGAGAGTCACACAAGGTTTGTGTGTGTGTGTGTGTGTGTGTGTGTGTGTGTGTGTGTTTGTGTGTGTTCATTCATGCATATTAAAGCCCTCTGCTGCCTCGTCCACAAGGACCGCTGGTGTCTGGAATTTGCTCCCCAGACAATTCTTGCTGCTCCACCTCCGCTGGCGTTGTTTGTGTCTGTTATTGTTTGTGTGTATCTTTAATGAGTGTATATTTTGATGAGCATGTGCTTTTACAGCTGTGGCCACAGCACAGCTGCTCATACAGTCTTTGTAGGATGTTTCATAACTGCCTACCTGCTGACTACCGTAGTTAAACACTAACATAGTGGGCTTTGGCCTTAAAAACATGCTCTACATGAAGATTTCTATTTGTCTGTTTTCATATAACTTGATTGTAATTTGTATGTTTCTTACAATGCTATACTGTACCTCCCAATTAAAGAGTCTTTATCTCAGTGGAACTGCCTCATTAAATACAAAAAAACCCAATGCTGAATAATTCTCACACTTGCTGTTGCACCTAAAGGCACCATTCCTTTTACTTTTAAGTAAAATCGATTTCCTGACCCTGCAAACGTGCCACTAAGGTTTCAAAATAAAAAAAATCTTAGCTTCCCTTAGCTTTACTGTTCTGACCAAAAATCTCTTGGCAGAAATCTAACATCTTCACCACCACCAAAATCCTAATCATTTGCCTGCATGAGGCTGATCCAGCACCCAAATTTCACTGAAATCCATTTTTAATCTTTTTAGATATCCTACTGACAAATACTTTTAAGTGTTTGGTGAGGGTTAATTATTGGACTCTCCTAGATGGATTTTAATAGCCATGCTAGAGGCGTGGCTCAATGGATGACAATGTTGGTCTGTTGATCCACCACTTTGGTCTCGACTGAAATACATAAATATAAATAACTATCAGATGGACTGCCATGTTTTTTTTTCTTGGCACACTTTGGGCCCCTTAGTACCAAGTGAGAATCGTTTAAACGTGACACCCTGCCTGAGTATTGTTGCTGACCATGTCCATCTCACAGTGTACCACCTTTTGATGGCTACTTCCAAAAGCTCAGATCATCTCAAACTGGTTTCTTGAACATGACAATGAGTTCACTGCACTCTAGTGGCCTCCACAGTCACCAGATCTCAATCAAATAGAGCAGCTTTGGGATGTGGTGGAAGGAGAGATTCACAATATGGATGTGCAGCCGGCAAATGTGCGTGATGCTATCATGTCAATGTGGACCAAAGTCTTGTTGAAAGTATGCCACGAAGAATTGAGGCAGTTCTGAAGGCAAAAGGGGGTCCAACCTGGTAGCAGCAAGGTGTACCTAATAAAGTGGCTGTTGAAAGTATGTGCCCTCTCTGTTTCTGATGGCTGATCTGTCATAGTGAGACAGCCTGGTATTCACATCCCCTAAAGCTCTTACTGACTGACCCAGTGACCCACTGACTTACTGCCTGGCCACATGAGAGATGGAAAAATACGCGTGGACGTAGATTTGATCAGAGCTAGGAGAACCGTCAGAAACGCGGTCAGATGAAAGATGGAAGAGACAGTATATACAAACACATTGTCTGCAGTGGAGCAGATGGGAGGAATATTAAAAGGAGGAAAGTAGTTCAGCAGAGCTTGGCCTTCTGCTGTTTCCTAAATGACGAGGTCTTTTCTGATCAAAGGCAGACACCCCATTCCTCCTCCTTCAGCTTCTCCCTAAAGGCTCCTTATCCTAACCCCCTAAGCTCTGTGAACCCCCCCCCAACAAGCCAAGGCCTCAATCAGCCTGCTTTTTGGATGTAATGACGGTTGTTGACATTTCTTGCCCTGACTACGCCACACACCCACTCACCTCTTTGGTTCAGATCTCTCCGCTTCCCGCAGCTGGTGTTTCCATGGCAACAGGGCAATTGAGCTGAGGTTTTGGGGGACTCTAATGTGGGTAGAGACAGCGGCCATTTTGCACACCGCCTCTCCTCCCCCCCTTAACCCTCCATCGCACCCTCTCTTCACTCGTTCATTTGTTCTGAAAGAGAGAGAGAGAGAGAGAGGGCCGACCAGGCAGCTCTGCCTGCAGCCTGACACTTTACCCACAAACACTGCACCCATTTCTAGGATCTGGGTCATATTTTGAGTGACTCATCCTTTTAACAGAATAGGTCAGAAGAGGGAGGAGGGAAAAGGGGAGGAAAAAACAGTAAGAGTATGAGGGATGGAGGGATTGATGGGAGGAGAAGGTTAAAGCAGGCAGAGAGG